GTCTTATAAGCTATTTAAAGGCTTTTATTATTATCTTAATAGATTTAATAAATACTTAATTAATATTACCTTTAAATTTAAGTCTTAAATAATTAAAGAGCTAATAATAGGGTATTTTAAGTGGTATATTGAAGCTTAAAGACCGTTAAAAGGCCTAAGAATTTATCTTTAACTACTAGAGCTATTAATTTATTATTATAGCTAGGCTTAAATTAAAAGATATTAATGTAAATCCTTTAAAAGGGTCTTAAACTCATTATTTATAGGCTTTTATAAGAGATAACCCTTTTAGCCTTAACCTTAAAATAGGCTTTATAATTAATTTATATAAAGCCTTAAATCTTTAACCTAATAATCTATTAAACTAGATATTTAAGGCTATTTACGTTTAAGTAGCCTAGCTATTAGTGTTAAAGGTTAGTAAAGGCTATTTTTTAGGGTTAAGGTTACGTTAAATTAAATTAAAAGCTTTTAATTTAATAAATTTTATTAAATTTAATAATAAGCTACTTTAAGTAATACCTTATATAAAAGATAACCTTATTATCCTTTAATATAACTCTTATAACTAGGTTTTAATTATAGCTCTTTTTTAGAAAGCTATTTAGTAAACTATCTAATAAAGCTATATTTATATAAAAGGTTAGAATAAAAGCTACTTACTTTAGCTAAAAGAGCTCTATTTATATTTATAAAGAGACCTTTTTCTAGCCTTTAATTTAAAGCTTTATATCGCTTATAAAGGCTTCTTAAGCTACTAAAGGACTTAATAATTAATAAATTAATTAAAGTTATTATAAATGTATGTATTTAACCTAAAATTTAAAATAAAAGAGTCTCTTAAAGGGTAAATATTCTTATAGATTAACTAGATAAATAACGCGGCTACTTACTTCACGTGATGTAACCTATACTTTTATTAGTTATAGCCTTTTTTTTAAGCGTTTTTAGCGTTTTTAACGTTTTTAAGCCCTATTAGCTACCCTTATTTTTTAACCTTTTAAGCCCTCTAATATCTAGACCTTTATAAGCTTTATTATTTATTAATTTTTTAGGCTTTTAATGCTTATAAAAACCATTTATAAGCTTCTTTAATTAATACTTATAAAAAGTATTTATTAGCTTCTTTAATTTAATACTATTAAGGCTTAGATTACCCTAGCACTTATAAAAGGCCTTTATCTTATAAAGAACCTTATTAATAAGAGCTTTTATTTTAAAGAACACCTTATTATTATTATTATTAAGAGCCTTTAATTTAAAGAACACCTTATTATTATTATTA